GAGGAAGGAGCTGTAGGTTGGGAGTGACTGGCAGGGGGACAGGGGCTGTGGGTTGGGAGTGAGGGAACTGGGGACAGGATGGGTGACTGTGGTTTGGGTGTGCAGGGCACTGGCAGCACCAGGGGGCTGTGGGTCAGGAGTGAGGGGCACCAGCAAGGGGTGGAGGGCAGGGTACTGCTGTGTGGGAGTGAAGGGCATTGGCAGGGCTGGGGTCAGTGGGTCCAGAGTGAGGGGCAGCAGCAGGGCTGGGGGGGGCATGTGGCTGGTCAATGAGGGGCACAGAACAGACAGGGGCAGGACACCACTGCCCCCCGCTCCCACTCAATCATACCCCCAGGCAGTCTGGTGATAAGCAGCAGTGGTATGTGCACATGGCAGGGGCATGCCTGTGGCAGCAGGGCAGCATTGTCACTGGGATTCTGACTCTCTACCCACTCCCCACCCCACAACATGCCCCATGCTCAAAAACCTCTCCTCCCATTTCAATAGAGATGGAGGAGAATTGGAGGAGCTTGGAGCTGGAGCAGGGGGCTGGGACCTGGGAAAAAGAGAGAGTATGCAGGGATCCAGCAAGGAGTCCCAGGACTTGGCAGTATTTCAGGCCCTTAGGACTCATTAGGCCAGGGGTCAGCAACATTTTTGGGCAGACTGCCAAAAGTACCCGCACACTTGACTTGTAAGATATTGGCATGCCAGGGGAGCTGTGAGATGCGCAATCTTTGTTGTGGCAGCACAGCTCTGGCCTCTTCCCCACCATCCACCCTGAGGCACATGTGACAAGCAAAATGTCTTTACATGCTATGCTCTGGCACCCATGCCAGGCATTGCCTACTCCTGCATTAGGCCTCAAGTGGCAAGGCCGTGTAGCTGACCCATCTGCCAGACTGTCAACCCTGTGCTCCCTCCTTCTGCTGGCAGAGCAGAGTTTTGGAACTGGGCAGAGGGGACATACATCTATGCAGATGACTCTGTTGTGTTTCAAAGTGGTTTGAACTGTTTCAACTAGTATGTCTGGCCACATACTGGGGGGGAAGGAGGCAAGTGTGAGTGTGTGTGTGTGCATGCCATTATGGGTGGGGGGTTGAAATCATGGATCAGTCTTGTGCTTAACCCAGTCCCCCCTTCTATCCCTCCAACCCCCAGCCATTAACATAAATGTTTAAGAGCTTGATAGCATTAAGATCTCCATCCCACCCCCCCACAGTCTCATGCCTCTCCCCATCAATTCAATCCCTGCCCTCCCACAAGACTTCTGTGTTAGCTTTAGTAGTGGCACTAGGATACTTTCTTTTTGCACAGAGGTGTTCCAGAGCAGAGAGAATAATTAAAAAATAACTAATGTTGTAGCTGTATCTATCTAGCCAGTTCCTGTACACACAGGATCACTTAGAAATATATGATGTGACATGGCAAAGTACAGGGAAATCCAGGGGGTGTTGAATCATACCAGAAGCAGGGCCTTAGGCAGAATTTGCCAATGAGGTCACTTAATGGAAAAAACAAAACCAAAAACCAACACCCCCCCACCCTTAGCCCAAAATACAGTGGCCAAGGCCCTCATGCAATACCTGGAGAGAGTGTGCAAGTGAGTTAGGGTCCCAGGAATGTATCTCACCAAGTGATGAGCCACTGTCTCATGCTAGTCACTAGGGAAGGCTGCGGTGCAGTCTGAGGGCCATGCTTCACTGGCAAGAGCTAGATTGATACAGCAGCTAAGGGACTGTCTGGATGCCTCCAGTCAATGCCTTGCTCCAGTCAATAATTAATTATTGTGCTGCAGTGGGTCACCAGGCTCACGCTGACTCCTCCAGCTTCTGTTTCCTAGGAGGCAGCACTGCCCATGTGACATGGCAGCCTTCGTGAGCAGTGACTTAGCCTAAACTGTCACATACCCAAACGGAGTTAGCACACCGTCCTAAGAAACTTGGGTGCAAGTCCCTGCAATAAATCAGCTTCACTGTGGAGTGAAAATATAGTGCCCTCATCCTAGTTGCCATACACTGCACATCCCTGGCTGTCCTTTGATTTGGGCCTCATCTCCTTAAAACACTTACCAGAAAGGCCAGGACAGGACGAGGCCTGGCTAGAAAAGTCCACTGGGACTAATGCCAGAACAAGGTGGTGTAGAGGGGCGTTGAACCATCATCAGCACTGTGCATGACCACTGGCAGAAACACAAGTGTTTCCTCTAATGGGCCCATTTAGCAGACATGCTCTGAGCATGCCTAGTATGTACCAAAGGCTTGCCCTTGCCCTTGCCCTCACCCCTCCCCTTTTTTTTTAAAAACCTGTAATGGCACATCGGTGACCAGATTTGAGTTTCTTCCTGTTTTTATCCAGCAAAAGCCACAGAAGCAGACTCAAATCTGTATTGTTGCTGGTCAAGGACCTGATAGCGTCCCCTAATCAGCATGCTGCAAAGCAGGCAGACTCTCGGCTCTTGCTGAATGTGAGGACTGCATGTGTCAAAGGGCTAGATGAGCGACTGCAGGCAAGCCTATGAGTCTGGCTAGGCTATTCACCAATGAGATGGTACATTTATCTGTTTAGGTTTATTATGGTATATTAGCAAGTCATTGGTTAAAAAGCAGACCTCACCATGGGTGCAGGAACCAAAACCAAGAACTTTGTTTTCGAAGGCATGAGGCTTAAGCACCAAGGGTGCAGAAACACACGCACCATATAGACACATGGCATAGCATTCTTCTGGCCTTATAAATCTTGCACACTTGGCTGCCCGCTGGATCAGTGGCAACAGTAGGATAGAGAAAACCAGGCTTCCCCTAGAAGGGGCTGGTCCAGTGGTCTTGTGAGAACATAAAAGATGTAGGTTTGAAGCTCCCTCAAGATGAGAGCCCAGTTTCTTGACATAGTGCTTTTACTAGGTGATATGGAAGCACCAGCACAACCACATGTAATAGCTGCAGCTGCGCTACTTCATGGTAAACTCAAACTCATTGTTGATACCTAAATGCTTGGCATTACCTGTCTAGTACATGGGAAGCTGAATCACACTAGGGAGGCACCTAGGTCTGCCCATTGACTGTATAGGAAGTCTTGGCATTTAACCTTATCATTATAGATCCCCTTCTTAGGGCAAGGTACCTACTTTACCTTAGGGTAATGTAATATCCACAGCTTAATCCATGGTGTTGAAAAAGGTAGGTTACTTTGGAAAAGTGGCAAGTGAAGTGGATGTCACTACAACATTTTCCTTGCTAAAAAGACCTGTCACTTTTTGACTTATACTGGTGGTTGAGTTATATTTGTGGCCAAAAGTAAAAAAAAAAGATTGTTTTTTTTTTGGCTAATCTGCAGTTTCAGATGAGTTCAGTAGGAAGATCAGGAGGAATACACTAAACTGTTAGTCACCCCATCACGGCTCTAGTTTTGAATGGTGTCCTATAACTCGCTCCAGAATATAAAATAAACCGTCTAATTCTTGTCATACCCATGTCAATGGCAAATCTCTTCCTGCTGATTGTAGCAGGAAAAGTATGGTAACACATGTCCTCTGAGCATGGAAACTAACATAACAGAAGCTACTAACAAATCATAAAGCCTAATAATGCTTTCCAGCTAGGATAAGATCTTCAGCCCCGATACCTTCTAATTCATCACTGTTTCCCAAGCAGACAGCTCTGAGCATTTTCATCATGCATTCACTCCAATGTAAAGTGATTTTTTTTCCAGGTGTGCCAATGTACACTTTGCTGGGAACAGTAGAGCAAAATCACTGAAATGATTACAGAAAGCAAATGTTTAGGCACTTATACAACTTAAATGGTATTCCTTACATCAGTGGCAAGGGGCAGCCTTCTTTGTCAGGCATACCACAAATTAGCCCCATGTGCCACTCTAATCCTCTTCACAGGCCCAATGTGCTGCTCTGATTTCTGCTTCCTTTCTTGTGCTCCCCACCCAATTTGCTGCTGTGCTTTCTGTTCCTTCCCCAATGTCACTTGCCACACACAGAAGCTGCCCGGGCCCCTTGTGAAGCCCACCCTACAGTTTGGCTGCCCCTTCTTTACACATTGCCAGATACTTCTTAAAATATTAGGAGGTCACGTTCCCAAATACACTCAGCAGAAGCCTGGCAAAGATGATTAAAGAAACCAAGTGAGTGTCTTGCACTTAGTACTGCATTTGTATATAGTTGCTTTGCGTTAGTGATGATACTGGGAAGCACAGTATCATCATATGCAGTGCACTGTCAGTATTCTGTACGAGATGAGGCAATATGTAACATCACTGGGGCACAGGCTTTCTGTGAGAAGATACAATTACATTTAAAATCTACACCAGGTTAATGATTGTTGCAATAGCCTATTTTTATAGCCTGCATGACTTATGATTAAAAGCATCATTTTGTCTGCTACTCTTTCCATACCAGTCCATCTCCCTGAACAGTTTAAGCATTATGGTGTCTTCTCTGGGCATACTCTCCAGTTGTGGATCTAATCCAATGCCTAATGAAGTCATCAGGAGCCTTGCTATTAACTTACATAGATAATGGATAGAGAATGTCATGATTTAGGCTTAGCCAGCCAAGAAACTGAGACATCCAGTGAGTGACCAATGCAAATCAAACGATATCCTAGGATGCTCAGTCCTTAGGGCATTGTCACAAGCAACCATCATAGCTTGCAGTCTACTCCACATTATCTTAAAGACCCTAGCTCAGTGTACAGCCACCTAGCAACTGGAGAAGCCCTGGGGCTTATGAGCTTTGAAGACACAGCTAGGATTTGGGCCTGGAGTGAGGTCTGTGTTGTAGAGCTCAGCACAAACAAATATTGCCTTTCCTTTTCTTTTTTTGCAGGAACAAATCATTTTGGTGAGTCTACTACCTCAAATATACAAATGACATTCCCATAAATCCATAGCCAGCATTGGATGGCATCAACAAGGAGTTAACCAATAATCTTTTCATATTCTCGAATTTCATATTCACTGGAAGGAAAAAAATCAGTAATTGCCAAAGGAAAAAGGACAAGATCAGCAGGGAAAGAAATTTATTTTCAAGCTTCTAAGAGAGTGCTACAAACAATAGAGACTAAAAAATCAAGCATTTAAAACTATTGAAACATGTACTTGACAATGTCCTTATAAAAAAAAACAAACATAAAAATGTAAAATAAAAATGCAGTTAATAAGTCTAAAACTTCTCAAATAGCAAAATAAAAGCATACAGCATCAATGATGATGATGGAAACTTACCAGTAGTTTTACTTTTTTTCTCTGTTAATTTGTCATTTCCCCCCCCTTTATTTAAATTTATGTTGGAGAAATGTGCAAAACTAGCAAAATATTCTTTGGATTATAAACACTGAAAAATCAACAACCAAAGAAATCAGAACTAAGTTAAGTTGAATAAACTACAGACTTATATAGAAAGTATATAAAGTGGAATATTATGACAAAACATTGTATAGCAAATTTGCTCTTCAGCAAACTCTTGATCTATACAACATAGGGATATAATGGGGAAGGTGAATATGGATATATAGTTAAAACATGTTTTCTTAATCTTTAATTAAATTTAAGACTAACTAAATACATGATCTATACATAAAGAATACATCAAATATAAGATTTCCTCTTGGGTGAAGCATTTGGATACCTGACTGCAAATATAGGATGGGATTTATAATGTAAAAGATGGAAAAAAATGCATATCAGTTCTGTTTATTGCCTCTTCCCATATTGCAGCTGTTGATCTCTGATCCTTAACAGCAAGCTATATTGAATTTAGCAGGATTACAACTGTACACAGATGCTGAAAATGTTGATGCACAGAAGAAATTCAGATCCCTTGCTCATTCTGAACTAGTATTAAAAGTTATAGAACATTTTTAGATTAAAAGTATACATTACACAGAACAACTTACTCTGAAAGAACTCTATATTTCTCTTATTAAAAATTTTAATGTTTTGTTTTCTGTAGACAATGCAATTTAACTGCAGTAAACTAAAAAAAAAAATGTTTCTAAGTGCCAGAGCCATAATTAATACTCAGATAATGTAACTGTCAGGTGGAGCAGTCTATAGGGATCTTATCGTTAAACTGGGTCAGGTGTAAGTCTTTTAAACCCATAGAAGCTTAGCCTGGAGATTAACAAGTGTGGAGTAAATTGTAAGTGCAGTGTATTGCCATCCATTTTTAAAGTTGTTCCGATATCCCTAAAAGTTCTACGCTATAAGGTAAATACACATTACATGGGAAAGTTTAAAAGAAATTAAATTAAATCCAGAGTGCAATTCTTCTGAAAGATATTGCTGTACTCTGGAAGCAGCCACAAGCTGTAGCTAGAGACGGTACAAAATGTTCACCAGACATTACAGATTTTTATCTAAAAACATTTGTAAAATGTATTTGATTTTAAATAATCACTTAACAAGGCAACCAAACAACTACAAACACGTAATAAATAGGGCTATTAAAAGTCATAATTGTAGTAAATTAGTCAGGACTAGAAATGAGATATTAGAAACACTATGGTTTTTTTTCTTCTTAAATGCTTAATAACCAAAACAAGAATTAAAAAAGAATCATTTTATTTCAAAGTCTGCTTCTTATATTGAAGCACATATTAAAGCAACAGTACAATGTTCATAAAATATAAGTGTGATGCTGTAACATTTCTTACATGTCAGAATACTGATATTTGTATGTATACTAAAATAAGAACTTTAAAATTGTACAAATAGATACATTAAAAATGACATAGAAATAGGGCGCCTCCCACTGCAACAAGACAGAGTTTTTATATCTGGCACGTATTAGTTCAAGATGAAAGTATAAGCAAAAAGATTTACAAGAATCAGCAGTAACAAGTTTGATGCTCAAGAGACATTATAATTGTACATTGTACTGTACATACATCATATGGGTTTAAGCTGGCTGAATATTATATATTTCAAGTTTAAAAATGCACTACCATATAGAGTGTCCATAGTTTAAGGCGAAATTACAGCTCAGAACTGTTGTCCTCTCTAATCTGTGGAAGCTTCTTTGACATAAAAGATTTAGATGTTCATAATACATAAAAGATATCCCTTATTTGTAGGTTCACGTCTAGAATTTTCCTTCATTTAAATATTTTGTACTTCATAAGTGGTTTATTTCTCTAGTGAAGTTGATAACCAACTTCTGTATTTGCCTTTTGTAAGAAAAGGTACTTCACAGTATTTACCACTTTGATGTCCTTTTTAATCAAAGGAATCCTCTCTGTCAAACTTAAATGTTTAAATGAGACTTTTCTTGGTTTTTAAAAAAATACCTGCTTACATTTCTTCTGGATTCTTCAGAACATCAGACACAGTTCTTAAGGCCAAATTTGTAACTTTATTGTTAAGAATCATCATCAAAAGTGTCTTTGGAGCCATATAAGTCTGCTAGTTTCTTAAATCGAGGTCCCCAGTTTTGTAGATAGTCATAGTCCAAATCAGAATCTGTTGTCGCTGACTCTAAGGAGCTAAGTGAACCAGCCACTGAGCCTCTTCCTTCATAGCCATAGATCTGAATAGAGTCATAAGGAGGAGCAGTTGGATCATTATCAGCCTCTTGTATTCTTGTGTTGATAAAATCATCAACATCAACACTATTTGGCGCTGGCCGAAGCCCTGGCCTTGGCATATACTGATACTCAGGTTTTATATCTTTACGAGGAATAAATCCATTGATGCCATCAGGGTTCTGCAAAGTAGCAATGTCAAAGGCTTCAGTGTCCTCTTCTCCACCCCCTTCATCATCATAGGTAATAATGTTCTCTCGGACATCTTCTTCTTCAAAGACAATAAGGGGCTCCTTCTTCTGCCTTTTCAGTGTTACAAACAATACTACAATGACTAGAGAAAAAAAAATACAAGAAGGTAAGTTAGGCCACTCTCCAAGTCTACTTTCACACGTGCTTAGGCGGTCTCAAAACACCTATCTGAGGCATCCTCAGGATGTTTCTGATGCTCCACGACTTCGGTCACTGGCAAGTCTCCTAAACTACTTATTTGTCCTTTTTTTCCCCTCAACACAAGGGAGATTAGAGTCATATAGTAGGCACACCTACTGCATTTTAGCACAGTAAGGAACCTGCCACCTGGAAAAAAATCCCCAAATCAAAAACCTGACTCCTTTAACCACCATTATGGACTGAGTAACATGATGATTCCTAAGGGGATTTTGAGGGTGCCCAACAGAGTTTATCAATACTGTCCAGAACACAATAAAAAGCGTTCATCAGGCACGATAGGACAATTACTCCAGAGAAATGGAAGCAGAGGCTTTTAAAGAAGGGGACCTTTTGGGGGGGAATATAACAAATATCAACTGTGGATAAATCTGGATTAACATTTAAATGCAAGCAAATGAAAGAATAAAAGGTAGGGAATGTCCTTACCTAACAAAATCACGATGCAAGCAAGAATGGCAATTAAAGCTCCTGTGCTAAGTCCAGCATTGAGGATATAGGCTTCAGCATTACATGAGAGCATGGAGCCCTGACTGTCACAGCCACAGACTTTAATAGTCAGGGTGTTGGTGCTGCTCATGGGAGGGATTCCACCATCACTTATAACAATAGGAAGAAGGTATAAGTCCTGCTTTTGTCGACTAAAGCCTCCACGTCTAACGAGAACATCTGCTGTGTTATCTGCTTGAACAAAGGAAATACTCATTAATCAGACAACTTATCCTCAGCCTTGTCTTGTTCATAAATACTGAGGTTATACTTTGCTGCAGCTGCTTTGACCTTTCTAATGCTTTATTCATATCAGTAAAGTTTTTCTTTCCTTCCTAATGGCAACACGAGCAATTAAGTATTATACTTTGCTACGTGCAACGCTGAATTTTCTACTTTAGGTATTCCAGTTTAGCATGTAGCATTCCAGTGCCAGGAAACCCCCTCACTTAAAAAAAATAAGCATGTCACAAGAAAGGACCCGATTCTGCTAATAATCATAATGGACTATGTTGCTCACTGCTGCAAACAGGACTCCATCCAACTTTTCCAGGAATTCACAGTCCACAGCACTATGCCACAGAGTAAGCATTGGCAGGATGCTGGTTCTCAGCCAATAAAGCAATGGCGATGTGGAAAGAAGAACACCCATTGATTTACCAAATTTTGGTATCGGCAGCTTTTGTTTCACTGATCATCGTATCAAGACCTTTGTGTTCAAAAGAAACCGGAGGACTACATCTTGCTGAAAAAATATCCTAACTGAATGCAATACTATTTGAAATCAAAGTAAAATATACACAACATACAGCCAAATAAGGCCTCCAGTATTCTGAGTGGTGATTATGGTGAAATGTATTTAAGTGAATAATATTTGACAGAGCAATATTTCATCATGAGACTCTTTGATCCAAGAAAATATAAAGCATGATGACATAAAAACCTAAACACATAGACAACAAATTATATCATTTTTCTGAACAATCTGAAGTGTTTCTTTTTTTTAAATAAAGCTTAAGTGTTTTTTGGAGCTATAGTTTACAGTGAACACTTGCCCATTACTTTCCTTTTTATCTTAGTGATGCACTCTGAATTTCAGTTTGGATAATACCCCGGTATTATCCAAATTATTATCCCAGTATGGGGCAACAAAATTAACCAGAAGACTATGTAAAATCTGATGCAATTTGCATTGTTTCCCACTTCTCGTCAGTCAGGAAATAACACGAAAATCTGAACACTGTTTGTGGTATTTCTCAGCCTGAACCAGAACACACAGAGCGGCAAGCCATTAAGATGTGTGGCAGAAATAATTTTTTCCAAGTTGTTCAGACTCGCAGAAAAAGTTTTGATTTGTTTAAAATCCAGATCAGATTGCCCAAGCCTGTTTGTCAACCCCTTCTTTTTCTGACTCATCTAAGAGAAAAGAAACGAAAAAAAAAGGTAAAACAATTATTTTATCTACTGAATAAGGTTTGTTCCCTTCCTCTGACCAAATGGTGCCATTTTGCTTCTGCTTTTGGGTACTACAGGCGATTAATCATTTTCCTGTTGAAGACTCAGCCTAAATTTCAGAATTTAATAATGTGATTCATAAAACTTCATTTAATGATCTGACCAGTGCCATTTCTATAAAAAGCTGTGAATAAATTAGACCTAATGGGAAGATTCTTGTTTCTTACATTAAAACTAATGGAGAAAACTTTTAGAATGAAAATTTGACGGGGATTTCTTTGTGCATATTACTACAGGAAGGGAACAATATCTGCCACAGTTGCCAGCCCTGGTGGATCTACAGGTGTCCATAGGGGATTAGGGTCATCTAATAAAACAGCGAAGACATTGGTACAGTCATTCTGTGGGCTTGAACAGATAACACATTTGCGCCAGTGTTGCTTACATTGCTTTCACACATCGAAGTAAGTTATCATGGGCTCCAGTGCTGAAAGATGAGCAGTCAGCTTGGGGAAGCTGCATGTAGTAGGTGTTATTACAGAGCCTTGCCGATAGATGTTAAGAAAACAGGTCATCGCCTACTTGCTTTAAGCAAACAACTCACTTGAAATTGCTGGAAACATGATCTTTACACAGGTATAAGGTATTTACACTGGTATAGTTTTACTCTTTCTTTCAGAAAGAATACGCAAAGATACTCTAGTGTAGGGGGTCCTTTTGTTTGTCTGCTCCTTTTCTACACCAGATTGAACGTTATCTGTCCAAACCGCACGCCCTCTAGCTTTTTTGAAGATGGAATCCAGCAAAAGTGGTTCATGAAAAGGATGATACTGCTTAGCTCTTTTCCATACAAGTCCTATTTATCTTTCCACTGTCACCTAGGCCCTCTTTACACTGGCCATGCATTGTGCACCCACCTCTAGCACAGACCTCAGCCTGAATGAGGAGGGCTCTGCTATACCAGAAGACAAGCATGCTTCTACAGAGGCAGCTGAGCCCTGCCAGATGGGACAGCTGTTTTGTATGTTCATAGCGGGCATGAACTGGTCATTTTGGCTTTTTTATTTGGAGTTCTGAATAGACTCGTAGCAATGTCTTGTCTGTTGAGATTTGGCATCCGGTGTCTTATCTGCATTTTTATCTTTAAGTAATATCAGCAACTAATATGTTGCATATTGACATACAGTCAAACCATTCCACAGCATTCTCTATTCTGCAGATAATGATCCATTTCTTCTCAGGCAAATAAAGCCTCACAAGAGGACAGATTTCCATCATGACAAAGAAACTCACAGACTGATGGAGGAGGGTTACCTCTGCTGTAGTGGATGCAGCTGCCTGAAAACTACAGATGAGGCTCTGAGAGCACTACTTCCAGATCCAGCAAATCCCAAATTGTTATCTGCTAGGCAATCAAAATACTTACAATTTATAGTATTATCTGATCGGCTAATTTCCTTGGTGATTTGATTACCTTATGGTAATGAAACTTCAATTTAGTATTACCGTATCGATAAGCCATAAATCAAAGATCACCTTTTTCATAGTCACCTTTTTCTTGTGTGCCATGTGATAGAACATCATTTCCACTATGAATACCTTGTATGGACTGGAAATTTGGATTGTACTTTGTACAATGTTCATCAAATTAATATGTAGCAATAACTGTGCTATACATACAGTACATTTTAGCTCTGTAAACTGATATTTTTAAATGCACTATACTTTTGCTAGCTCTTGGCAGTTTAAAAAATATTCCAGCACTAGAAATAAGAAAAAGATGGCAAACTTTCAGCCCAGATGTCAGCTGGCAAAACTCCAGGGAAGTGGATAGAATTACCCCATGGCTGAATATGCTCCCATATCTAACTTAATTCCTGGTTCTGTGTTTTTCTAAGTATTCTTCCCCCCACCCTCTGCCCACTAAATGAGAAGTAATTAAATACCAAGGCTATTTATACAGTCTTGTAAGTTTTTCCATATTTAATCTGTAATCGTGAGCCAAGGTTTAGAATGGTTAAGTCCCGTAAAACAACTGAGTGAACAGAACTGAAAGATCCCATTTTTACCTCAACAAATTACTTCTCATTAAACAGTATCAGCCTCCAGGTATTCCAGGGAGTCAGGAAAAAACTCTGAAACTTATTTAAACATTTTTAAAGAGTAAAGAGGAGGGCCAATCCAAAGCAGCAATGAAGGATCAGGGTTTCTGTGGGTGCTCTTTTACTGGACCAACTGCATGGTTGGGATAGACTTAAACAATCTTTCTTCTTCAGGTCAGATAACAATTACTTGACCGGAAGAAAAATGCACTGCTTTTAGCAGCTTGTCTAAGTCTATCCTAATCATGCAGCTGGCCCAATAAAAGATATAAGCTGCAAAAATCCTTGCTTTTCAAGTATTCCTTGTACCATCATGGTTACAACATCATTGCAACCCATAGGAAAGATTAGTTGCTTCCTCTACTTTCCTCATGTCCATGACTCATGTCCAGAAAGAACATATTATCTGAAGGAGACAGGAAAAGCTTATTAAGATAAAGATAATATATGATCCAGAATAGTATGTTCATCATTTTCATGTCTCTGCGTGCAAAAATACAGCATAATTTGTGATCCAGGTAAAGTGATATTTTTAAGCCAAGAAAAAAATGCAACTGAACAAATTAATCCTATATTTTTCTGAAATAGCCCACAACAACTACATTGCAACTACTTGGCTAGCAATCTAAGGTAACACAATCCCAAATACCTTCTTGCTATAATCTATGAAAGAAAGACTTTCATTTTTCCAGTCTCAGTTCTCTGAGGAACCCCCTCAGCCAGGTATCACCAGTAGTCTTTGTGAAATTATTAGCATTGAAAGTAAAAATCGCATCACATCCACCATTATTTATTTCCAAATCTTTCCTTTTCCTCTTTGCCTCTAGGAGTCTTGCCAAAGGTTTCTAAGTTCCTTTCTCCACAAAGGTGACTGTTATTTTAGTTCTATTATACTGTTAATGCATTTTTCTTAAAGAAACAAACAGTTGTTTGATAAGGGAAGCTAACTGCAGAATGCATGCTGTTATCTACTTTTTCAGAGGTGACAGGGTTGACTCAGCAGGGAGGACCAAATGACCTTCTGGTTCTAATTGCCTTGAATCACCATCAGGCAGTGATTATTACTGGGGAAAATTTCATGATAGAAAAAAAAAAAGGGGGGAATCGCACCAGTGAACACATCTATTATTGAAGGTCTCAAAGGATCAAAGATGTGCCACTGAAAGTCTGAGAGCATGTTGGTGTTGAAATAAGATTGAATTTCGCCACTTCAATGGCAGTGTGATTGGATCCTGAGTCTCTGGGAAATCTTTTTATATATTTATCCATTCCAGAATATTATTTCAAATTATCAGTGACATGGAGAAGGAGAAGAAAATTGGTCCTTCTGTAGAGGACTATACAAGGCTAAGACACCACTTTTAGCTCTATTAACTATATTTGGTCTTCTGCTGGCTCTTTGCACAAGATGAATTGGTCACAATGGCCTTAGGGGTGGATCTGGGGCTAAAAGCAGGAAATACATGTCTGAGCAATCTGGTGCTTTATTTTTGTATTGTCAAAGCTAGTACAGGCCTTTCAAAACACCCTACTTGCAATGGAAATAGGGTCAGACATCAAATGTATACAGAGTCTGGGCAACCATACTGATGTTTATTTACATGGTGGAATGTAAATAAACACTCAGCGCTAAAGTAATTTGATGCTTTATCACAGCGTGAGATAACCCATTATCTCATGTTTTCTATGGAAAATAGTCTCAGCTGAAAAACTTGGTAACACAGTAGGCTATTAATAGGATATAGAATGTGATTACTTTTTTGGATTACTGCAATATGTAATTACTTCTGGAGCTGGTAGAAAGAAACTCTATTAAATGATAATTATAGGACTGTATTCACTATAAAAGTTCTGTAATAGACCTAAACATTGGAGTTTTCATTAACTGGTCTCCACAGCTAATAAAGCCATTTTTCTTTGAAACTAGCAATACCCTCTGAAAAGTGGCATGATATAAAAATGACTCTGATTTACAAATGAAAAAGAAACTTTAAATGATCACATACTTTATTTCACTTGCAAATTGTAACACATCCTCTCCCTGAAACAGTTTACTATCTTGAAGTACATAGAAGTCTAACTTCTTCATTTCACATTCTAAAATAATCTTTTTCTTTTTTTTGAAGTTAAATTTACTACTCTGGTGAAATTTTCTTATAAAATGTAGGTGAATATATTAACTACATTAAAGAATGCATAAAAATTCTGGAGACATAACATAGAAATGTAAAGGGAAAGGAAGGATTTTGTTACACTGTTATTTATCTTCTCTAAAATTATGTGGACTTAAAACATCGTTGTCTTTTTTAAATAATCTACTGCAGTGGTGTCACATAAAGCCATTACATTGAATAGACCACCAGCATTTCCATTATAAAGCCTTTCAATCTGGGTTAATTTTTTCATTAAAAGAAAGAAAAAAAAAAGAAAGCTGAATTTGATGCATGTGGAAATGGAGGATTAATAGAATTGGCTGGAGTTGGGCACTGCTGACATCTCTGTGCAGCTGTTTCAATGAATCTTAATTCTGACCTGGGATGCCCCTCTGATATTTTAGAACTGAATCTGTTTGAATCGATTGCCAGTTATACAAAATGATGCCAATTTTTGTGGTAGGCTTGTGATACAAACTAATATCCATTAGGGATTTCACTGATACTGCTAAACTCATTCCTAATCTCAATTTGAAACAGGTCTTGAAAGGTAAAAGGCTAGCTCATTCTCAGAGACTGATACAGTGGCTATAAAATACCTTTCAAGGTGAAACTCGGCCTACAAGATCTCAGGTGAAGAATGTCAAATGTTCTTGTTTTTTTTAATTATTTGTCTTTTAAAACAACATATTCAATTAAGTTTACTATTTTAAGGTAAAGAAAAAATTAAAAAATAAATGTATGTTGTATGCAGGGACCTTTATCCATTTCATATCTGGCTGTTCCAGATTGAGAAGGTTTAATTTTAAGCACCCATAGCCCTTCAGTTTTATTAAGTGCACTGCAAGATACTTGGCCAGTGAGTTCTGATGGTATTTCTCTTTCAGGTTAGTATTCAGGAAGGAAGAAAAGGTGCCAAAATAAGGTAGTTAGTTTTATAAGTCTAGTAGTTTTTAAAACAGAGAATTTCATGGGTGAACTGAGTGGCTCAGTACTCCCCTGTGTTTTTATGATCATGACAATCTGGAGTAACCTCTTTGATTTCATGATTTAAATCAATACAACTGGGACCACAATCTTAAGAAACAAGCTAGTTCTCTCTCAAGCACTAAGCTTCAATTTTTAAAAATACTTTCCTGGAAAATTAAATACTTTGGTTTCTGTGGCAGGAAAATAATCATGTTAATAATCATGAATTTGTGGAACTATTATAGCATGTATTTGATTTATATTATGCGTGTGATTATGAAACCTACTGCGTGTCTTTATAATATTGAGGAAGGTGAACATGCACTGTAATATTCCAAGGAAAATCTCTACCCATCCAATTGTTATTGTTTGGTTTGGGGGGTTTTGGGAAGGAGGGGCTTGCAAAACTTAAGAGGCAGATAGATAGGCAGTCAAGGTTAATGGAAATATTGCTGTATTATATTATAATTGTCATTAGTTTTCTATGTTCACTTCTCTAGACACAAGTATACAATGAACCTTGCTACAAACCTCTGTTGTCTCTGAGTGTGAAATTTGGATTATGAATAATTTCAGGTGGTAAACTGAAGATAAAGCGTGGTCCATTGGCAGCATCATCCTTGTCATCAGCAGTAATTGTAATAAATGGCTGAAAAAGAAAGGTAGTTTGTAAACAAGTAGATCCTTTGTGGGTACATTGCACATTGCATCCTAATAACCCTTTTAATATTAGGAATTTTGAAAGCCAAAGGTAAAAAGGCAAAAGGAAAGTATTTACTCTTATAAATACGCTGAGGACAAAAGCTTAAATATATTAGCTTTTGTATTACTGTACTTAATCAATACAAATCAATACAATATTGGCAGATTTTAGGATATTCACATATGTCCCTAAACTGGCAATCATTTAGGCTGAAATACTTGGTTCATACATGTATACATATTCTAGTTCAGGGGTTGTCAACATCCAGCACATGTGCCACAAGTGGCACGGGCAGTCTCTGTGTGTGGTGCACGGCACATCAGAGGGCACAGGCAGCATAGTGGCAGATAGGGCAAGGAGTGGAAAGCAGAGCAGCAGATCAGACAGGAAAAACAGGGCATGGAACAGAAAGCCAAGCAGCAGATTGGACCAAGAAAGGAGAGTAAGGGGCTTAATTTGTGGCACACCTGCCAAAAAAGTTGGCCTCTACTCTTCTAATTGATGCTAACCCTATCCAAAAGCTAGCGATAGGAAGGATAATCCTAACTAATTTAATATGGACAGAGCGTGAATGTATACATGTTTGGGCTATACTGTCCCAGAAAGCAGTGCATCTTTCTGCTATCTGAATGACCTATAATTGTGCTTCTGCTGTATGAATGCTGGCATATGCTTATGGCTGCACCATTCAAAATGTAGACTTTAAAGTGTTGTGGGTATGTACTGTTTTGTTTCACCTCTGCTGGCAAACAACAAAGTGCTTCTTTATTTGCTCAAGGTACCTGTGCCAAAACTTTAAAATAACAGCCCAGCTGCTAACTCCCACACAAAGCAGAGCTCAACCCCCTAAAGAATGAATGTGCCTGCCAGGGGAACATAACAGACAAATGATACCTGATTGCTCTGAGAATTTTCACAAATAAATGCTTCATAGACTGCTGCAAATTTTGGAGCATTGTCATTGACATCAAGGACCTTAATTGCTACAGGAACTTTAGCTTCCTGGTGTCGATTGTCTATAAGACAAAATAAATAAACAAAATCAAAAGGAAACAAAAAACGCTATTTTGGTTCTATCAAAGTACAACAAAAATCAAAAAATCAAAAATAAAGCATTTCTGTTTTGTATTATTTCAGCTGCTGTATGTCATATAAACAATGAGAGCAATGCAGCACTTGTATGACTGAGTTAAAATTCTCAGTGGAAAACTTACGAGCTTCAGTTGCGAAGACAGAGATGTTATGCCAGGCAATTTCTTCCCTATCCAGAGGTTTTATGGTCTTAATGTAACCATCTTCTGGATTGATACTAAAATATCTTTCAAGGTCAGTGTGACGATCGATTGAATACCTAAAAGAGATTGAAATTTCGTAATTAAACATAAGAATTATTTACTGGCATGGTGATTAACTGCTTGTTTTATAGTATATTGCCTATTATATTGCTTGTTTTACCACAATTTCCAAACATCCACTTAGTAGTATATGTTTTGCCAAATAAACATTTTAAATAGCTTTATACCTTAGTTAATAGTGAGGAGATGAAACTATAAAACACACATGCGAATTACTCAGAAGAAAGAGGGTATAGGGGAAAGCCATAACTTGGAATTAAAAGTTAACACTTAAGTTATTTCTATTGCAAATGTACTGGTAGAAAAAAATGCCTACAATAGTACTGTTTGGTAGTTTATGGCATGTATACCATATAATGGTAATTGATTTGTGTGAATGCTGCAACATATAAAATGCAAACACAGCTATGACACATTTACATCGAACATTTCCTAATCATATGACCCTGAGAAAATGTGGAAAAGGGCATCTTATGCAAAGACGTATATAAACATATTATATAATTGCACTTATTTACATTGTCATTAATAGCATTCCTTCCAAAATTTAGGAGGTCACCTAATCCAGTGCACCAACTGAAAAAGTCAACCTCTATCTATTTATCTGTCTATCCATCCATCCATCCATCCTTCCATCCATGTAGCCATACAAACAGAGTATACCTTATAGCACTATTTGCAACATCTGGGTCTTTGGCATGTACTCTTCCAACCACAGTACCAAGGTTTGAATTCTCCTGTACTTCAAGGATGTAACTAGGTGCTAAAAAGATAGGGGGCTCATCAGCATCCTCCACTGTAATCTTTACAGTAACTGTATCCTTGAAAGGTCCATTGCTGATGAACTTAGGATCAATATGTACATTGGCTGCTTCTACCTTCAGACTGTAGAACTTCTGGGTTTCAAAATCTAAGACCTGTAAGAAGACGGTGCAATCATTGGACAGAGCTAACAAAATTGAAAAGTTAAGAGTCGATATATATGGACATAAACAATTCCTTAGTGCATGACACCAGAATGCTTATAAAACAGATACGTGGTAGGTTTCAATATATCTGGAACCAAGTGTATGAAACCTTTAAAATATTTAGGCCTGGACCCAATGATCTCTCGAGGTTCCTTCCAGCCCCTAATGTCTATAATGTCTATGAAAATTGTCATATAGATTGAAAGAAAGGGACTACACCACCGATTTTGTGACGAAAAAGGCTAAACAATGAGGAAGACCCCTTGTCCTGTTCTGCATTCACTATGTTGCTCTGGAAACCATCCCTTTTCCTCAGCTGGGGATGTCCCTACTGATTTGCAGTTCCAGCACCAAGAGTATGTTATGAGGAGGATGCAGTAAGGAAAGGAGATGGCTTTCCCAAGGTAGAGCAGCAAAGAGCCATTAACTGTCCATATTATGCCAAACAAGCCTCCCGCCCAGGAAGAGACGCTGTAGTGGCCCTACGCCAAGTAGTGAATGCTCCAGAAGCTGATTGTTGGCTTGAGAGTTGGTGGTGGTGAACTGGAACCAAATACCTACCACAGAGTTGAGGATCTGGCATATATAAGGGAAACAGATACTGGCATTGATCATCTGACACAGTTACCAGATCATACAAGCTAATGATAAAACTATTAACTAAATTGTATTTGTGCTTAGCATGGTGTCTTTCTAAATTGAATAGCCAATTTTCAACAGGTGAACAGAACAGCCCTTAATGTATAAATATTAAGATACTGGCAGAAAATTGCTGGTTCAGGACACGTATGAAAAGGAAATGAAAGATATAACACATGTTATCCTTCATACTTTCATGCTTGAGGAAACAAGGAAATGACAATTCATACTAAGGGTTGTTCTAGGCATACTTTTATGGTGATAAAAACTATAATTTCAAAATGTTCGCTAACTAAGGAGACTGGGAAGAGTTGGGAATTGGAGGACAGTTTCTAAGTTCTGAGAAGAGCTGGGACTTGGGAGATGGTTTCTCAAATAAGCCAGTTAGTCAGTGATAGACATAGGGCTTGCTTACTGGTCCAAAATAAATCCTGTTGTGTGGTTCTTCTCATTCACATTGGCCTATGTTTATTGAACCCATCAAGCACTACAGCTTTCAGGCACATAATCTAATGCATCTGAAATATTTGGCATAAGATAGTCAGCAGCTGGGATCCTATATGAGACCTTGAGAGCTAATAGCGGCAATGAAATTGGGTATAAGGAGGCTCCTTTTTCAAAAAGAAATATGACAGGATAATTGATAAATTCCAGTTCAGTTAACTGTAGTAAAACACATTGTTATCTAAATATTGTAAGGGCATTAGCTTTGTAATTATTTCATTAGCTGAGGATCTGGTGATAGACTAGGAATACACAAACATCTCTGATTCTGTACTGCTTGAATGGGTACTTAAAAAGCAAGAGATTTCTCAGTACTGGCATGGCAGAAACATGGGATTAAATCCTATTATCCCATCTTAATTAGTTACTAGGATGTGGGTTGCATTCATAGGGTATGGGAAGATGAGGTTTCCATATCCATTTCTTCTCTGTTATTAAAACTAGGCTTGGACCTGCTAAATGCTGAGCACTTCCTGTTATCACTCTCAATTTTCACTGAAAGCGATAGGAGTGGAGATTGCTTACAGTCTCACAGGACTACTCAGTACTGCACTGGATTAAAACCTGTAGGTTTGGTAGCTGATGTGAGAGACAGATCTCAGATGTTAGATCGTTAGGGTAGGAATAACACAGGGCACTGATTTGTTTGCTTGTCATATTTGCTCAAATCCAGGTATTGCCTTTTTGATGCAACAGAGTAACAACACTGTTACACTAGAGAGTCAACTACTCATCTCTTAGGTGCATATTCTTATTATATTAGAGATTTTATTAAGCTGGCAGGCATGAAAAGAACCCCCTCTTCCCAGTAGAGGTCCTGATTTTGAAAAAAAAGTTTACCCCCATAAAAACTGATTTAGAAGCAGGCCAGTTAATAGATAAATGTCCAATTTCTTCCACATTAGCAGCTGTTTGGGCTATGATTCACATAGCACAGGTGCATATTGCAGAAGGTAACAGGTAATGAGCAAAGCAGGGAGTGCAGGGGAATAAAATTCTGCATTAATGAGACATTGCTGCTTGGCCCTCAAGGTACAGGACTGAAGCCAGAGAAGGGAGCTTGTAGCAAGTGCTCATGTGAATTCTTAGGACCGTGACCGCTCAGAGATGCCAATTCTTAACTTGGATCCAATTTTATTTTTACCTTGCTTTGAGAGTAAGGAAATGAGTGCATAAGGGACTCCAGATTTCACCCTTGGGGAGTATGGCTGAGTTTGTCTTAGTTGTTGCATGTACAGTTTCACTTGCCCCTGAGCTGAAGGGCAGTGATGCCACAGCTCTTAGAATGACAATTTGAGATCAACACTTTGTAGTGATACAAAGAACAGAGAACCTGGGGCCATCTCAATATAAATTAAACCAACAGAAAGTGTTTGGTTGGTCTCAGTGCTGTGCAAGGATTTATTAGAATAGGAATGTATTTTAGCAAGCTGTCCGGACTGCTATTTGCAGTCACATTAGCAATGTATCCAAAGAGAACTGTTTCAGGGTTGTGGACACAAACTATTTGAGATGAGTCTAAGTTAGTCAAACTGCAGAATCATTTGATAGGGATATAAGATTGTGCTATGCGCTTTTCTTACTTTCACAGAGTCATAAAGTAGAGAGCACTACCCTTTTCATGCCATGTACCCCCACCCTTTTCTTTCTATCTACACAAAATGTCAGGGAAGGAATGCTGATTTAAAAAAATAGTTTAAAAAAAAATTAAATACAAACCCTCTATGTTTTGCACCATTCACTATTCAGGTGACACTATCAACTTGAAAATGAATACTTGATTAAAACTAAAGTAATCCCAGCATTTATTTCTGAATTAGTACTCTGTATGTCTTGAGGAGCAAAAGGTGTTGATTGCTCAAGTGGCAGCTGGGCACAGAATGACTTTAAAGACTAAAAATATGTTAAAAAGCACAGTGGAGTCTTTATGTAATGCTGCTTTCTGTTCATAATTATGCCCTTCCATTGTGGTTCAAGGCATGATCAGATAACAGTGAAATGGGATACTGAAACTTAATCACAGCTTCATAAACAAATTACATAAAATTGCATTTATCATAATTTTAGCTTGAGCGCTGATGTACTGCTGTTCTAGTTTATCTCAGAAAAGAAATGAAGGGTGAGAAGTACAGTGAGAAGTTGTAAAGAGCAGCATTGTTTACCTTCTTAAGCTTTACAACACCTTCCTGAGTCTCATAATCCGTTGTAATTTCGAACATATCCATACCATCTCCATCAATGATACTGTAGCTCACTAAGCCGTTTTCTCCAATATCTGGATCTTTGGCCTTCACTCTTCCTACTTCTTCACCTGGAACGGCTGCTTCTGATACTGACATCTGGTACACACCTATGCCAAAATAATAATAATGTACATATTCAGTTGGCTTCTTCCAGTATTTGTAGTTTGGCTCATTCCATTCATATGTATGAAGAAAGAACAAGAAATGGTTTAATTTTCAAATTAAGCAAATGCAGTAGTGTTGTCCTCCAAACGAATGGTCATATTACAAATGTCTTTGAAATAGAAATCATATGTGAAAACTTAGACTGTGTTGGTAATCCATATACAGTAAAATTACCTTCCCAATTTCATATACTACAACCTTTACTTCTAATGCTCCTAGAGCAGTTAAAAGGCCAAATAGTCATTCAGTTAGAATGCAGGAATTATTGTGACATAAAGTTATCATTCATATCAAGCATGTTATTGCAAAACTTGAGAGAAAATTACATTTCAAATGACTCATGGTATGACCTTCAGTTCCAAGAAGTCTAGCAAAGTACTTGCCCCTTCATTCAGAAACCACAAATTAAGGAGAAGGATTTGGATCAGACCTCCCTGCTGTGAATAAATCTCTTGCTTCCCAAAGCTCTAACTTAGAAAATGAACTTGTATTCATTGAAAACACTGAAACTTCAGATGAGTCAGTATGCACTCGCTTGTGCGTGCATAAAGAAAAGAATAAGGAGGTTTTTCTACCTCAAAGCTGTACTTGAACAGGATGGAGACATCAGCAGCCCTTGTTCAAGGGAACTCATAGACTCTACAACCCACTGACCTCAGGATACATTTCTGCAGAAAGAGGGCTGCAATATTCCCTATATACAAGGGTTTCCAGGAAAGACACAATCAACAGCGCCTGTTGCCCCTTGCCCATATCTGAGCTTAAACGTTTTGAATCACACATGTTAACTATTTCAGCATTCTTTGCATTACCAACAGCCTTGGTGTTGACATGAGCATAATCAGAAAAGCATGCAGCCATGAAGTAGAAATATACTAGAATAAATCTACGCCTGCTAACATTGTAGACACATCGGCCGCATTCTACCATGCTTGAACTTGTCTCATTAACTGCAAAAAAAAAAAAAAGCTGCAAGCAAAAAAACCCCAACAAACCAAACCCCTAGCTCTAGTCAGAAAACAAAACACATAACCAAAGTATATTGCACAATACAGGTATGAGCTATGGCTAGAAAATCATTAGGGCATCAAAGGTGTGTAGTGTGTTAAATGGGTACATTTGTATAGCCAAAAGATGGCGTGTCTCTTTGTGGGTAGGGAGAAGGGAGTTTTATTTATTTATGTATTGTTTTATTTATTCGCATCATCCAGTTATATTAAATACAGCAGACAATGAATGACAGAATCCCCCTGCCCTGCCCTGCACTGAGAATAGAATTAGTTTTGAGGGGCCATGCCTATGTGTCCATTCAGTTCACTAGACTAATTTTGCTAAAGTCAGTGGAGAATAATTAAATGAGATCAAATATGTGTGAAAACCGAATAGTCAGCTTGGCCATTAAAAACCTTATTTGTCCTAATGAGCATGCTTCTGCCACCATTTTGAAAATTTAATTGAGCTTATTTTGATTTCTTCTGCCATTTGTAGACAAAACTAATCAGAAGGGAGTGATGGTCCATCCTGCAACCATGGACTGTATGAACAGTCCTTAATTTTATACAAGTAAAGGTTGTAGTATTGAAAAATACGTAAAATAGAAAAGCATGATATTCACTCACTTATCGGGTCTTCTAAGATCTGAAAAAAATTGTTAGCAGGATGTGCAAAGTTTTTTTCATGGCAAGCCAAGATAAGCAAGATATGCCTAGCCTGGGAAATGCCCAGGCACTGGAGGGTGCAGCCCATATCCATCAGTAAACAGAAAAGAGACAGAAGACAGGGTAGAGATACACCTGATAGACTAAATGAATCATAGATGTATAAGCTCTTGTAAGCACGAGCTCACATGGCTAATTACCTCAATGTGTTAGAGATAGAACTGGATGCCCAGCTTAGCTGTAGCTTGGAAATAGCTGACAGGGGCTAGGTTTATTAGTATAAATGCTCAGAAACTGGTCTAAACCCATAACAGTACAGAAGTTTGGTGTATGTAAACTAGTTTAAAAATGGTGGAACCTGATCTATTTTAGACCTGGATCGATGTGTACTCAAACTTAATTGATTTAGGCTAGACCAGTGCATTGAACTTCTGTACCAGATCCCTTACCAATTCATGTCACCCAGGTCACTGTCTGCCAGTGTCCCAGATGCCTTTGTGCACTACCATTTGCCCTGTATGCCCAGCCACACTGAGTGCCCAGCCAGCCCTTCCACCAGGCTCTCTCAGAGCCAAGTGGCTGATGATGATACGTGGGGAGGCGTGCTCACCCATGCCCTGCAGCCTGGTCAGGCTCCCTGTGACTGCCCCTGCCCATGGGAGCACGGGGTCCCTGGGTGGGTGTGTGGAAGCCCACCTATGGATCCCTGTGTCCCCGTGAGTAGGCACAGCCACAGGGAGCACAGCCGAGCTCCAGGGGATGGGCGAGCAGACTGCAGTTGACAGAAGCCTGTAGCTGACAATGACGGGGGAGGCGAGGAAGCATGCTTGTCTGTGTCTGGCAGCCAATCAGGGATGGCCCAACCACTCAGCTCCTCTCAGTAGTCTCTAGCAGCCCAGAAAGCCCATTGGCAGAAATGCAGGGAGTGCCCCCAATCTCTTGGCCTTGACCAGTGCAGGCAATCTGAGTGCCACCCCCTCCCGAAGTGTGAATGTGTGTTCTGTTCACTCCTGACCTAACCTACGCTGCTTACAGAAACCTGCATAAGTTTGATCAATTCTGCCTCTGCCTTTTTGAACATCTGTACTTAGCCAGGGAGTGCTGAAAGGCAGAGGGCAAAGCCATGTGCAAACCTCTTTAGAGCATTGTCTGTCTCCTAGCAGGAGCCTTCTTGAGTGTATAGGCTGCAATACTGTGTATCACTGTACATCTCCAAACACAAGTTTCTGACGCACAGGATGTGAGAGTTTAGAGACCTAGTCTTTTAACCTCTTGTACCACCTCCTTCATCATAGTTTTGGCAGAATATCAAAGATTTCATCTGGTTGTTATAGTGTGAGAAGAATGTTAAACATAGGACCTTTACTCTGAGCAATCTTTTACTTTTTCAGCATACGCATCACGAAAAATGAAGTTGTAAGATGTGTATCAAGCTCTCCTAGGTAATCACTACTGCAGTGCAAGTCTTTCCCTTAAAGCATATTTTCCAGTGCTTTTGTCAGCCTACCGGTAACTGACTCAGTGATAGGGACTTCCCTCCTTTCTATAGAAGTCTAGACCACAGCTGACTGATCTCACCATAGGTATGTTTTTAATATAACATGGTCCAGTGGCTTTAAAAATGAAATATGGAGCTAGAAGCCTCCTGAGTTTTAATCCTGGCTTTGAAAATGACTCACTTTGTTGCACTGGACAAATCATTTAAATGTCTCAGCATGCCATTAGTAAAACTGGGAAAATAATACTGGTCTCATATGCATGTTGCAATACTCCATTTCTCAACATTTCTCCAGAGGGTACAACTGCTTTATATTATGGTTAGTAACTGTTGTTATTTAGTAAAGGGTTTGCCACTTACTCTGTGGGAACTTTGGTGGGTTGTCATTGACATCAGTTAGTGTAATTGTCACTTTGGTTGTCCCTGAGAGTCCTCCCATGTGTCCTCCCATATCCTTTGCCTGTATTACAACGTGATATTCTTCCTTGGCTTCACGGTCCATGTTGGGAAGGGCAGTTCTAATAATGCCTAGAAATAAAATAAAAATAAACAACTTTATTTTTTTTAATAATGAAAAGCCACTCTTTTTCTTACAGTGTCTTGCAGATACACCACACTTATTGTGTATAGCAACGGTGGCCAAATTCTCCCCTATTTTCTGAACATTGCATACCATACATGCTTGCAAAGCAGCCTGATAGCTGGCACAGCTGAACCTGTGAGTACTTGGGGGAATTGTCCGTGGCACAGAGCCTACATAGTTTCTATACCATCACCATGGCACAAGGGGAATGGATCTGTCTCAGTGACAGCTCTTTAGTATAAAGGCCCCTAGATGCTCTAAAATATTCCAGGAGATGAATCTACTGAACAGCTTAGCCAGGACTGAGGGAGAATGAAGTGATGTAAAGCTATCTATACACACACACACGCACGCACGCTACGTGCACATTGGCTGTCACTGGAAGTCTGAACCAATATGTATAATTCTTCATTTTAACAGACTCTAAAAAGATATAATATTCCACACAAATAAACCCTGTTCAGTAATACCTGTTTGAGCTTCCACGGAGAAGTACGGCTGACCTTCAAGAATACTATAAACCAATTTGGCACTGTTCCCATAGGTAGGATCATCAGCATCTGAGGCTGTTACCTGAATAACTGATGTACCTTAAAAGGACAGAAAGGGAGAAAGCAATGCTTGTTAAAAGTAGATGCATTTGTAAAAGCCACTCTAAGATGCTTTCAGCTAAAGCACAGAGGTGCCTGGTATGCATGGCTGTCTCCAAATTTTATTCTTTAGATTTAATAATTACTGGGACTTACTTTGCAATTTATATACTAAGCAACACAATCTCCATAATGCTTAAAGCAATTTTGCAAGGAAGTAATAAAAGACTGTAAAAGGAATTAATGAACATTTCTGACCAGGGAATTTCTATTCCATCAGATACTTTTTCTTTAGCAAAGATTGCATACTACTACTTTTGATAATAAATAGCCACCCAAGACAGCCTGTTTGCTAGGGTTAGCTACATTCACTTAGCTACAATCTGCACGAATAGGTTCATAGGAATGCTGATAACTGGATTCTCCAAAGCAGAGGTAGGCTTTTTGTTGCTTGCTTGATTTAAACCAGGAGAAAATATAATGGAAAATATGGTATCATTCCCTAGCTTATGGCTTCGTTAAGCAACTCAGTCAAGGAAATGAACAGCATTGTACACCCTGAACCACAAATCCTGGTTGGAGCCTTTTCATAGTCTTTTATTGAAGGAACAACCCTATTTCCTGAAGTGCTTGCACAGCTACTCTCACAGTCATATTCAGTTTCTGTAGCAGAGCTTGAAGTCTTCAGCCATTTGTTCTGACTCACTGATAATATTTCAGCAATTAGTTGAGACCAAATAAAAATTTACCTCCGGAAGTTTGGAAGATGATACTCAGTTTAAGTTGAGATGTCAAAGCTCCAAAAATGGAAACTATGCCTGCATTTTTCTGTACATACCTACATTGGACCTCTCTGGCACGTTGGCATGGTAGTTTTCATGAAGAAACTCGGGTGGGTTGTCATTTATATCTTGAACTTTAACAATGAATTCTGAAGGTGGTTCCAAAGGTCTATTAGTGTTCCTGTCTACAGCTTGTGCTGTTAGAGTGTATTGAGCTCTCTCTTCCCGGTCCAGTGTCTTTGTTGCATGGATGTTCCCTGATTTGTCATCAATAACAAAAATTATTCCTGCGCCTTCACCTGAGAGAATGTATTTAATGTTTCCATCCCCAGAATCAATATCCGAATGAAGCTATAAAATGAGAAACAGACATACTGTAACATGGGAACATACACTGTAAACATCCAAGCCTTAAAATATTGAGTTACTATATATTTTTGTCTGGATTTACCAAAATTTTGCCTTAGACTGCAAGCCCTTGGCGATTGTGGGTATGCTTACATGGCAGCTACAGAAGTGATGCAGGAAACCATACAGGTAAACGAGCTAGCTGTAACTAGCTAGCACAGGATATGGTAGCAGTTTTAACTGAAGCAGTTTGAAGCTCAGCGTGGGATAATTTATCCTCTGCTCCTCAGCAAAATAAAATTAGCCCACACTCCTGTGGCTAGTTTATACTCCTCACACTATATGGTAATCACTAGTGTGATGGCAGTAAAGTAGGGCTATGTGAAGCTTCGGTAGCTGATTCAATTCGGAGGAGATACGGTCCAATTTGGGGACTGAAATTCCAAATCCAAATTGGATCCGAAGACCAATTAACATCTTCTAATCGATTCAAAGCATCCAAATCAATTCAGAAAGAGATTCGGGAAAGATTTGGTGATTTGGCCGTAGACTAAACAGGCAGCTGACAGCTGCC